ATGCCCATCTGCAACTAACCCAGAGACTCCACTCTTGCTCTTTGTGCTGATCCTTGCTGGCAGTGGTTGCAGGCAGGCGTTCAGACACACTACATGGTGAGCCAGCGACCCTATTCCTTGTCCAAAGCCAACGCAATGAAAATATTGCTGGGGGAAATAAGAGATTGCAGCTCTCTGGCCTCTTCCAGTGTCCTAGCTCTCCTAACTGGTGCTAACTGGAGAGCACCCAGTGGCACACACAAGCCTCGGCTGCTGTTCCCATGTCCCTGCCATGAGCCCAGGAGCACTTGCAGGGCTGTGCCATGGTGGGTCCCCAAATCCCTTAGGGATACCCACTGCTGCGGGTCAGCACTTCTGCTTCCCTTTGCCTTGCAGGAACCCCTGCTCTCTTAAACCCTGCAGTCTGATGATTGCCACTGGTTGCCACTGGTTTTTGTTACCTCTTATTGCAAATGCACAGAGCCAGTTGTCTCCCCACTCGCAGGCTGGCATTTTCTATAAGCGAAACAGTATTTCTTCATCTCTTTAAGAAAATTATAACAGATATCAGGGCAAAAAGCCATGGTCAGGTAGGATGTCAGGTCAAGGGGGAAATTGCTGTGTGCCCTGCTGTTATTCCCTGGATATGTCCCTTCTCGCTGACTGGGACCAATGCTCCAACTTTGAGCCCAGAGCAGGATCTGTTATGCTCAGGCTCCCTCTAGTGCCTCCATGTCCTGGTGTCCCTGCTTCTCCAGGTGGCTTCTCTGGAGGCATATTGGCCATTTGTCCCTGGGGACTGTCCATCATCCTCCCTCTCCTCCAGCATGGCTAGCTCGGGCTTACAGCACAGCTAAGCTTTGTTTGCCTACAAGCTGGGAACATCCCTAAAGCTGCCCAAAAGTCACCGCATCCCACCAATGCAGGGACCTCATGGGGACATGCCAGGTGGCTTAGCCTCCACTCCAGGGGAAAGGAGGGTGATGAAGGTGTCCATACCCTGCAAGATGCTCTCCCGGACACAGGCACAACCCTGCACACTTCAGCTCTGCTTTGATGGTGCCTGTGGAGAGCAAGGAGGGAAGGTGATGGGTGGCAAGGGCCTGGGAGCAGCCCAGGCTGGGGGTGGGCACCTTCTTCATGAGCCATCTGGGACAGCTGAAAGCATCACTGCACACTCTCCACTACTTGATACCTGTCTTCAAGAGAGCAGTTTTTAGGGGTGCTCCATAGTCCATGTCAAGCAAAGTTAGCTGGGCTCCTTCTAATCAACACCTGAAACTGTTATCACTGATTTTGTCTGGTGTGGAGGACACCATGCTCACATACCATGGCACTGGTATGGTGTGTTATGCTGTCATGCTGTGTCTGACATCCTACATGAACATGTCCCTGCCTCTTTTTCCTCCCATGGAAATGGGGAGAAATTTTCCCAATGTCTCGGGAGATGACCAGCCTCGACCTCAGTTCAAGCCCTTCTTGTAAAACTCAGTCTAGCTCAGCTCTGGCGTCAGCACCGCACTAGATAAACAACAGCCCCGCAAGAACCCATGTTTGAGAAAGCACCGTGCCCAGGTGAAGGAGGCTTATTTTCTCACTTAACAAGGAGGTGTTCTTTGGTATAACCATGAATTGAGGCAATTGCTGTAAGTGCAGGTGCAACAGCACACTCAGCCAGGTGCCCTGGCAGGGCTGGTGCGGTGCTGGGTGAGCAGAAGTACAGAGCAAGGAGGAGTGCGGGGTCCCACAGCTGTTTCCCAGTCCAAGGGGGATGACAGCAGGCCCCTTGTGCTCCCAGCTGCTGAGAAAGGCCACCCGAGTGGCTTCCCCACATTGTCCCCAGAAGAAATGCACTGGAGCAGTGGTCCTTGGCCGTCGCTGCCCCGTGAACAAGCAGTACCCAGGGGAGGTGACCTGGGCACCCTGTGCTTCATTTGCCTTTCAGCATGGGCTGTGGCAGCTGCCTGTGCCTTGGGACGTGTTGGGAGAAGCTTCTCACATTTAACATCTTTTCAAAATGTATATACCAGAATATATTATGTCAGAATACCTTCAAAATATTGCATCAGATGTCAACAAAACCCTACCCATATCCCTTTTGGGGTGGATCACAGTGGTTCCCTGGAAATTAATGATGTTTTTCTGATTTATGCCCGCGGACCACTTGGCCTGGGCGCTGAGCTTCTCTGAGTCACTGACATTACTGAAGGGGGGAGTTAGAGTAATTCATCACCCCAAGTCCAAACATCAGCTCACAGGGAGGGTGGAGGCAAGATTAGAGGAGTCTGCTGAAATGTGGCATCAGCATGAAAACCGTGACAAATCTAACTGAGATCAATTGGCATAAACGTGTGTGACACAAGGACATTGACTGAGATAACACAGTTGTCAAAGGCACTGTGAGATTTTTATTTTAACCTGTGAGTTTTTTCATAAGTGTTTTGCAGCTGGAGTAATTACCATCCTATTTCATAAGCATAGCTCCTTTAATAGCTGACACTTGGGCTAACGTGCACTAATTAAGTCTGTAATCACTAAAAGTATGATTGAAGGTTCGAACTGGCCAATCGTTCTCACTAATGCCATAATTAGAGACATCACAGCTCATCAGAGCACAGGAGAAATTCAAGGGGTCTTGATCCTGCCTTGGATCATCCTTTTTACCTGATATTTTGCATTGGTTTGCAATGGTTTAGAAATTACCCTGAATATATTATACTCAGCCCTCTAAACTGAATGCACTTCCAGGGTTTTCTTTTAGTAATTTGGCTTACAGGTCTTGTATATCACCTGGGTATTACGCACCTAGCTTCTCTAATCCCACCTGTCTGACTGCTTTTCTCATCTGGCCCCAGCAGCAGCTGTGAAAGAATCCCAGGGAGCTCCAACAACAGTAATTGCAGCGAGATACTGAAAGAACTTGAAAAAGATAGCTGAAGCCATAAAATAAACCCTTCTGTTTCTTCCTATGAAGGAAGGCTCGGAAATGAGTGAAAAAGATAAAGAGTTTTTATAATCTAATGGCCAAGATAAGGGGACCTGGCTGCCTGTTTCTTTCTGCCTTCTGCAACGCAGTGGAGGCGAACATGTCTCTGGGATTCAGTTTTATCTTCCACTGAGCTCGGCTCTTCGGGTTATCAGGAGAGTCAGGCTTTCTCTCTGCTGTTGGCTGCAATTAGCTGGCCATAGTGATGTCTGAGTATTTTAAGACTGCAGCTCACTACAGTGGAAAGAATTTAGAAAAACAGAGTGTAAAAAGTCAGAAGTTTGTGCATCAAGGAGGATTTTGTGGAGAACCTCATATTCCAGCTACAAAACGCCAGTAAAAGAATATTGCTATTTTCATCTATTTTTACACTGTTTGCCAATAACAGCTGCCCAGAATGAAAAAAAAAAAACCCAAAAAAACTGAAGCCAAATACATTTTGCAACTTAGGTCTTGCTGGAAATACAGGAAATACTGAAATTAAATTACATTTAAGGATATTCTATTTTTCGTCATTTTTGTAATAGGAAGAGCTTGTTCTCAGGTATCCAAACATGAGGCAGAGTAGCTAATTGCTCTGTGACTCGCTGAAAAAAATGTCTGGTTCTCTCTCCCATGTACTGGTCCAGGGCCTTTGGTCTCTGGGCTATTTATTCCAGTCTGGGTTATTTTAGGCAATTCGCTCGTGCCTCTCATCTTAAAATAAAGGCAATGCCATAAAAAGATGGCAGTATTTTTCCATTCTACCACAATGCAGAAAAGCCTGGGCCTTTTTTGCTCATTTTTCAAAGGATCTCATTTGAAAGCACAGCAATCCTGGACTGAACCGGTGCAGTTCGTACATGGGTACACCCCAATGGGCTTGGGCAAGCTCGGCCTTTGGTTCCCCTTTTTCCTTTCACACTTCCCCATGGGAGACACCTCAGTCACCTCCCCGCGGCATCACCGCCAGCCAGCGCTGGGGCTCCCTGATGGCCGTATCACGAATCTTCCGGAGTTTGGGGCAGCGGCAGCTACCGTGAGACTTAATTCCAACCCTCAGCCGTTGGCAGCCGGATCCACTCCCCTCCGGCTGGGCTGCCCGCGCCAGCAACGCCTGGTCTTGCCGCCGTCAAAGGAAAATGGTCCTAGTGCTCTAGTTTAGTTGGCATTTTTGCAAAGCAGCTGCGCTGTGGATAGACACGACTTCATTTGCCCATCTCAGTCATCATTTCAGCATCTTTCAGATAGGAAAGTATCGAAGTCTCGGTCTGTATATTTTGCAGGAATGAGACTTTAAACTCGCAGGCCATCATGGCTGGGCACGGTCAGACGCAGCACAAAACCTCCCTGTCCCGGGCTGTGCCTTTCCCACAGTGTGTGGGGCCTGGGAGGCCGTGGGTTTTCGGGGGTCACCGAGGCGGCACAGCCAAAGCCGCTAATTGTTGGCGTTTGAAAACAAACAGAGCTGTTCACAGCCCTTCTGAAAGGGCCTGTCTTCCACACAAATAAAAATGAACAGCGTTTAATGAATCCGCTGAGAAGAAAACATCCTCCGGTGTAACATTATTGCCCGCGCGTTGGCACGCAGAGCTGCACGTGCAGCTAAGTCACGTCCGAATTCACCCGGGCATGGGCTGAGGGCCCTCGCCTCCCGCCACCAGGCAGTGCCACCAAGCGCAATGGTGGCCTCGGACCTCAGCGCCATCCTGCCCGCGCCCCGCCGCCCGGGAGAGGCCACGTTGGAGGCGGAACGTGTTGGTGGGGGACCGTGTTGCTTGGGGGGAACCGTATCGTAAGGGACCGGGGTCAGCCACGCCGCTGGGGCCCGGGTGTTGCGGGACCCTGTTGCTGCGGGACCCTGTTTCTGCGGGTCTCTCCCCCGCGCGGGGCCGGGGCGGGAGCGGAGGGTGCCGGTGCCGGTGCCTGTGCCGGTGCCGAACGGGAGCGAGTAGCGGGGAGGGGAGGGGAGGGGAGGCTGCCGGGCGGAACCTCCCCGCTGGCGGCGCCTGTTGCGCACCGGAGCGGCGCGGGGTTCCGGTCCGTCGGCCCCCATTTCCCAGCAGCCCCTGCGGCGCGCCCTCTCTCCTCTTCCGGTCCGGCGGCGGTGCCAGCGGTGAGGCGCTTCTCCGCGCAATCCGGCTCCATCCGCGCAGCGGCTCCCCGGGCCGGGCCTGAGCCGACCCCACCGGGCTGGGAGGGGGGCGAGGCCGAGCCTGGGGCTGTCGTGGGCCGGGGGGTCGGGGTCGGTACTGCCGGCGGTCGGGGCGGGGGAGCCCCGGGAAGGCTGTGGGGGGGAGGCGCGGCCTGCCCGCCCGCCCGTCCCGACCCAGGCGGGTGTCTCTTTCTCCCGCAGGTGCGACCATGGCCAAGTCGAAGAACCACACCACGCACAACCAGTGTAAGCCGGGCTCGGCGACCCGCGCCGCGGGGCTCGGGCGGCTTGCGGCTGCGGGAGGAGGCGGGGAGGGACGGCGCGGCCTGGGGTGGCCGAGGGCTGCGCTCCGCAGGGAGGTTTTGAGAGACTGCTTTGTGCTGCTCGGTTATGGTAGCCGGGCCTTCCTCTCGTTGTGCAGGGGGATAAGTTTATGGGGGAAGGAGGTGGCGGTGCGTAGGGATTGAATGGTGCGCTCAGTGAAAAGAGAGCTCTGCGAGAGTCGGGACTTGTTTGGGCTCAATATAAAAACAGTGCGTAACCAGAAAAAAAAGGCACGTTTGACATGCTTGAACTAAGCATGTTACTGAATGGCATTCAGCCTGTGGTGCTTTGCCATCCAAAAATGACTGCAGGGATAAAATAGTTCTTGTTTGGGGGTTGTTTCATCAGTGCTGTAAGTTAGCAGAGTTCACGAGTAGGTTCTTGCACAGTGAGCGATGGTGCCCTTTAACCAGGAGTGCTGGAACTTCTTAGTTACTGAGGCCTTTTACTGCGCTAGTGGTGTTGCTGTTAGTATATGATTAGTTAATGAGGAACCAGAAATCCTTAGATTAGAAACTCATGGAGTGCTGAGAGCACAGTATGCAAAAGAATGAGAATACAGGTGCTTTCTTAATTTGTGTTTAGTTTGGATAGGAAGGGTTAGAAAACTTTAAATTCCACTTTATTTTGATGGGGTCAGGTGGACTTAAAGCTAATGCAGCTATTTAATAATGGCAAAAAAGGTAATTGGAATTGTTTTCTGGTCTTCCACATAGCCCGAAAGTGGCACAGAAATGGCATCAAGAAACCCAGATCCCATAGATATGAATCTCTCAAAGGGGTGAGTATTTCTATTGATAGTCCCAGGCTGTTAAGCCATTGAGGCTTAACCATGGAAAAAAATCCAGTATTTGTATTATTTTGACTGACATATTTCTTGCAGACAGGGCTTGTGTTTCAGATGGTCAGAACCATTGTGGGTTTCTGGTTTATCTTTTGCTTACCATACATGCAGCTGTGCTGTTTCTAACCCACATGAAATCCACCCTTGTATGTCCATAAAACTGCTTTTTAGTTACTGGCCAATTTCGTCTCTGTCCTGCTCAGGTGGGTGTCACTAACTGCTGCTTCCAGTGAAACAAACACCCGTCAGTTGGATAGCTCTTTTCTCTGTTGAGTCTTACTGTGTCTCCTACTTTTCTGTACCCTTCAATATTATTTTACTATCTGTACTAATCCAGAGAATTTCGCTCAGAAGATGAGAGGAATTGGCATTTCTGGACAACATGTATGAAAATGACAGCATTTTGCTTTTTCTGAGATTAGACAAGTGATATAACTGGATCTTTTTCCGCACTTGAAAGTGAAAACAGGACATCTTGGCTTTGGGGAGGGTTGTGATTCTGTTTGCTTTGTAAATGTAACTGTCAGCTTTTTGGATGTGACATAAAAGCTTGTCTTCCCATAACTCGGCGAGGGTTCAGTCCTGGCCCCTTCTGCAGGTGACTAGTCTGACAGTCTCTGAGTCTGTCTCCTTGCACTGAGTGCACATGAGTTAAGATGACAAAATCCTGGTGTGCGTGTGTGCTAGTTAAAAACCTGTTTACAGTAAAATAGCAAATGTTTCTTAGTGGGACAGTAGCTGACAGTTCTGAGAATTGGTCCTAGCTGTGACAAGATGTGTTAGCCAGCTGTTAGCTGACGAAAACCAGGGAGCCACTCCTCTCTGTGCTGGTGCTTTTTTACTTTAATGTAAAATGGAGAGGCCTGAGGAAGTGGCATTGATCTTTGCCCAAGGATTACACGTATACGTGCTCACCTGCCAAGGTTGGTTTGTGGTACTTCAGATCCAGAAGGTAGTGACACAGAAATGAAATTTGTCTTGTTTACAGCTTTATTCAACTTTTCCTATTCTTTCTGTATGTTTATTGCTGGGGTTTTTAGTTTGTTTATGGAAATGAAGAAAAAAATATCTAGTTAAAGGATGGTTACAGACGCTAAAATAATTTTGTTGCTGTAATAAATCAGAAAAAAGAATCTATTAATCACAGCCAGCATTTGGGAATAATTGGAACAATCTGGAGATATATATGTTTTTACATATGTCCCTTCTATGGCTTATTTTTTCCTTATTTTTGTAGGTTGATCCCAAGTTTCTGAGGAACATGAGATTTGCAAAGAAACACAACAAAAAGGGGCTGAAGAAGATGCAGGCCAACAATGCTAAGCAGGCTGCTCAGCAGAAAAAGGACTGACGTGGTTTAAGACAACAGAACCGGTTTTCCTATTGGCGTGCATGCTACAGCATTTTTATAAAAATAAAATTGGACATAACAAAGTCTTCACGTCCCGAATTTGAGAACCCCCCAAAAGTCTTGAGTTGTATTTTAGATGCCAGTCGTGCATCAAGCCTGTGTGTGGTGACCAGCATCTGTTTTTGTTCCTTGGCAGATCAAGCCAGCCGGAGCTGTGGAGAGGTTTTATGTTAATACTGTCAGCCTCCATACACACAAAGTAAAACAGCTGCTCCCTCCTCAGTGCTCTTCTACTGTAACCGTTGGTACAGGTCATGAGCATGTAGTAGTTCAAAGTCTGTTTTCAAGTTGTGAAATGGTTATTGAGTGAAGCTTTAAAATTTGAACAAGAAACAATGTGTTTATTTTCATACAAATTGAAGCCAGTGTGGCCTGAACTCCTAGGTGACAGTATTCAATACAGGTAACATTATTTTTGATATTGCCATATATGTTCAGAGGTCCCGCATACCGCAATTTTTGTGATAGTCCTAGTGCTGTTACAGCAAGGTGAGATTTCCAAGGGCTGTTATGTGTCTGCTGCTTTGCAAGTAGGGTCGTTACAGCTATGGAAATCCTGAAAAATGGGAGGGTACTGAGCGCTAGCTATAGTGTTGGAGATCATAGCGATTAGTGTTAGAATCGGTATGTGTTGTATTCTGAAATACTTGAAAGTATTGAAGCGTTGATGAAGCTACCATGGTAATGTGTGAGGTTTTAGAACGATATAAAAAAAACTGTATTTTTCATAGTTACTGTATTTTAGTGGAGGTCTTTCATTCCAATAACAAAAAAAGTACCTGTCTGATGAAATGTGCTGACTGGTGAGGTCAGGGGAGTAACATTGAAAAGCCCGAGAGGTGCTGTGGCAGGGTTTTGTTACTGCTGTCCTTCTGTAGATCAGGAGAGGGCTTCACTCTCCAGGTCCCACCAGCCAGCAAAGCTGGTTCAAGAGGTGCTTTTTTATTACTGAAATGAGCCACCTGTTAAAATGCAATGAACTGTTCCTGAAACTGCAATTTCAACACTTGTCCACGTGGTGGTGTAAATCCATGAATTGACACAAGAGCTGGAAGTTAGAAACTATCTTCTAACACTGCAGTAGAGCAGGAAAACACCTGCTGGATTAAAAAAAAGTTCAACTGAAACATCCACTTACTGTAATTGATTTTTTTTTCAATAGTTTAGCCAATTACCAAAATGCAATGTTATTTTGAAACAAGGTAAATATTTTTAATTCTTATGGCTTGAATTCAAAAGTCTTTTCCCAGTTGCCACTTTTTAATTGTTTTAGACTGATGAAAAATACCACTCAGCCCTAAACCAAGAAATATAAAGAGATGTATTAACTTAAAACTCAGGAGTCGAGGGCTTTTAAAGTCTGAGGTAAGTCTGCAACTCTCAGCTGTCCCATTCCTGCTGTGTGAGAGCAGTGTGCTGGTTGGGAGGAGTGCTGTGCTGGAGAGAGTGTACAGTCACAGGGTTCATGCCACCGGGTAGAATCTGCTAAATAGTCAAGAAAAAAAGGTCATCTGGTCCCTGCTGCCCTCAGGTACAGCAGAAGGTCAGCTGATGAGAGGTTCCTCATGGTGTTAATCCTCCCTGGAGTTTTTTTGGCAAGTGGTAGGTCACCCAGAGACAGATGCACAGCACTTAAATCCCACTGGCTTCAGTGGTACCTGAGTGCCTGTGGGTATCTGAGGTCTCAGGCTGGCTGGTGCTTGCCCTGCTTGAGCAAGTTTGTCTACAAAGGCAAGATTGCATAGCTGTGGTTCAGGTTAGCATGCACATCTGGCAGCCTCAGCCACTAGCCCAGAGCTGCCGGGCAGCCCCCAGCAGCCCTTATCAGGGCTGGCAGAGAGACCTAGCATAGGGAGATGTCCCCTTGGGGTGCTGCTGGTGTTGGAGGAGACAGAACGGCTGGTCCAGCTGTGTAAGTGAAGGTTGGTCTGGTGCAGATACGTGTTCTGACAAGAAGAGTGAAAGAAAAAGCTTGTGAACAGAGGACTTGGTGTTTGTCAGGCTACGCCTTCACCTGTTTGCAGATCTCCAATCTGTTATAAGTTAAGCATTTTTAATCTCTAACACTAACAATTTTCTAAGAAGGGAGATTTCATCTCTAAACCCCCTTGGTGTCTTCCCCAGAGTGCTTGTGTTGTAAGAGTAGCTCACCCACAGGATGCGGTTTGAGGGAAGAGAGAGAGGCAAGGGTCGGGCTGAGAAAAGGATGTTGGCGTGTTAACAAGAAGCAGAGAGGAAGATTTGGGCTTCCTGTGGCTCGCAGCAGCTCCCCCAGGCCTGCCTTCAGAAGCAGCCTTTTCATCTCGCTGCCCTTCATGCTGCCCTTCAGTGGGACAGCTTCCCAAATATGGGCTTGCTGACTTTCTGACCAAAATAGCGGCTGCGTGACAAAATGCAGCACAGAGAAACATAACCTTAATCCAGGCATCATTGTGTAGCAAGAGACAGGAATTTTGTGAGCTTCCACAGCAGCTTGGTGTCAGGTTTGTTGTTGTCTGCTCCCTGCACACATGATGGTCCCGCAGGACACTGCTGGGACATCAGTTGATCACCTATTGCATTTTCTAACCCTGTGACAGCTCAGTCCACGACTTCCCTCCTTGTTGCAGAGGTTGTCCCAGCCCAGAAGGGAAAGCTGCAAAGGGGAGTCTGTGCTGACATGGCCTCATGGTGGGTCTTCATCCTCTTTGCTTGCCTGGTGAAATCATTTTAAGTTCTGTTGGTCAAGTGAGACTGAAGATCGTTTTTGGAAGGATTACGTATACAGAAAGCCCAGGAGACAGAACTGGCAGCTGTGGCCCATTGAAACTATTCCTGTTATGCAGAGCTCTGTCATCTTTGACATGTGGAAGCTTCAAAACTCTTACAATGAAGTCCTTGGTATCCTGCAGGAAGCCAATGAGCTTGAGAGCGTCTCTCTGCTCAGCTAGTGCTGTACATCAGGTTATACGTTTTGTGCTTGCTGCTGCTCTATGTCATACTTGCTGCAGATGATTTCTCCCCTTTGCAATTAAGATTACTCAGTATCAAGTTTCAGTTTGGCTCCTTTTTTCCTGTTGATTAAAAAAAAAAAAAAAGTAGGGAGCAAAGGGCATGTAACCAAATACTGAATCATTTGCAAAGGTGAGCCATCACACTGAAAGCACAGAACTGGGGAGGAATCACAGAACTGAGAAATCAAAGCACTGTGAAACACTGTGATGGGACAGAGTATTCATTGCGGGTGTTGATGTTCACAGTAAAAATGAAAAGTAAGGCTGGATATGTGTTGCTCTGTCCCCCTTTACCACCTATCAGTAGTGTGTTCAAGCAAAAAGCAGTGAACAGAACATGAGTTCTGCTTTGCCCAAGTTTCAAGGCTGTTGCAGGTCTTTCTACACAACAGGGGCTTTGGCATGGTGAAATGTTTTATCTGGTGTACCTCACATTACATTGCTGCTGCCCTGGTGGCAGATGTATGATTTTAGGCGAGACGCAGAGGTTTTATTAGGGGGATGTGCACAAAAATGTCCTCAGATCTTCCTGCAGTCACTCAGTTCACACAGCAAAGTTTTACTGAGGGCTGAAGAGAGGCCTCAGATATGCTGGAAAAGCTGCAGACCAGGGCAGGGATTAAATCTGCTGCCAGTGAAAGCAAGCAGGTCAAATGGCTTGAGAACTGTGGCTGTGTCTGGTAGCTGTCACCTGCCAGCACAGCTCTTGGCTCAGCTGGGGGCTTAAGAGCATACAGATCTAGGGACTGTAGTTCTAGAGAGTCGTAAGTGGCTTTTTGCCTGATTTTAAAAAAAAATGATTGTTTCAATGACCTTCTTTTTCCCCCAAGCAGTGCATGTGGACGTGTCACATTCCTTAAAGGCTTCAGGCACCAGAAGTTCATTACGCACGCAGGGAGATACATGGACTCCTCTGGGAGGTTTTCATTCATCTTTAGCACATCTCCAGGCACATCCCCTCTGGGGAGGCTTCACCCGAGCTGATCCTCTACAGGTTAGCCATCTAACCCACTCACTGGCCTGTTATGTCGTGTTACATTCCTAATGCAGTTGTTCCTATGTTGTAGCCAACAGTGAAATCCACCCGCAGCGCCCCACCCTGCGGCATTTGCTGTCTTACTCTTGGAGGACAGTCAGTGTTAAGGCAAATTGGTCTCGCAGCAGTTTTTCTGACTTTACTTAGAGCACGCTGACCTGCTGGCACCTCTGGTCTAAGGACTAAAAAAGCCCAAATAGTACCAGTGTATTTGCTCTTCTAGGGACGAGTTTCAGCTGCTGTAAGACCTTTGTCCTCTCTCTCCAGCCACCACCTTCCCTGTTTTACCCTTGGAAAAGAGTGGGCAGCCAGTGAGGTCATAGCTCGCTGCTGCCTGTGCCATTGAACCAAGCAGTGAGAGGCAAGACATGTGGCCGGGTGGCTCTTTGCAGCCATCCTTTTTCCTGGGGTCACAGCAGAGTCCACACTGCCACCAAGTTGACTGAAGGGAGGGGGTTAACCTTATTTCTTCTCTTGTTCACCCTTCAGTGAGCCAAAGCCTATTGGTAAGCAGCGGAGAATATCTTGGAGATGTCCTTGTTGGGTGTTGGGATCTGGTCGGGACAGAGGAAGGTAACCGGGCTGTTGGTGATGCCTGCTGAGATGTGGGCGTGTGGGTTGCCTGTGGGCTGGATGGCCGTGGCTGTGGGGAGAGCTGGTGTGGCCTTGGCTTGTGGCTGAAGCTGAGGTATTTGCAAATCTGTGGAGGTTTCTGGGCTAGGGTAAAACATGTCAGCTGTGTCCTCAGAAGCAGGTCTCGGTGGGAAGGAACTTCTGCTGCTACACTGGGGAGGTGGAAAATCACTATTTTTGATTTCTAGGCTACGGATTCATTGGAAACAGAAGATGCTAACGCTGGAGCATTTCCTGTCACAGGGTTGTTTGACCCAACACATTTCTGTGTCTGTTGGCTTCTGGTGCACCTGCAATTCTGCTCAATCAGCAGGAGCTATGGCATCGAGGACTTGGGACCCTCAGGGAGACCCCTCTGAGTGGT